GCCACGGCAGCCGTTGACCCTTTGAAGGGGTTGTTGGCGCTGAACTCCCGCCACTTGGCTCCCATGATCGTCATCATTTTGGACATCGGGATCTTGGGGTTCTTTTTGGCAATGAGAGGCCTGTAGAGGGGAGGGGGACAGAACGATCAGCTCCTCGAGCAACCTTGTTTCAGGGTCCAAGCCCCCCACGGTCCCTTTCTGGGCCTAGGAAAGAAGCCCTAAGAGCGTTGCTAGCTTGCTGCCTTCTCCCTCCCTCCGACACTCTTGAACCCTCATGTTTTCCTTTAAGCACAATCCAGGAGTCTCGATTCCATTATTCCCAGAGGACACTGAAATCCAAACTCCCCACCTCCACCTTTGTGTCTCTCTCCTCCGCCAATCATGGAGCCCTTCCACCAGGCCTGCGATTAGGAGCTGCTACTAACAATTCCCAGTAGTCATGTATGGCTGCGAGAGTTGGACTATAAGGAAGGCCGAGCGCCGAAGAATAGATTCTTTTGAACTATGGTGCTGGAGAAGACTCTTGAGAGTCCCTTGGACTGCAAGGAGATCAAATCAGTCAATCCTAAAAGAAATCAACCCCGACTGTTCCCTGGAAGGCCAGATAATGAAACTGAAGCTCAAATACTTTGGCCACCAAATGAGAAGGGAGCACTCACTGGAGAAGAAGACCCTGATGCTGGGAAAGATTGAAGGTCAAAGAAGACGGGGACGGCAAAGGATGAGATGGTTAGACAGTGTCATCGATGCAACGAACATGAAATTGAGCAAGCTTCAGAGGACGGCGGAAGACAGGAGGGCCTGGCGGGATCTGGTCCATGGGGTCGCAAAGAGTCGGACTCGACTGTACGACTGAATAACAACAACTAACAACAACAACAATACCAACTGGATTGTCGAGGCCCTTTTGTTAACACCAACTGCTGTTGGGCTGGACGACTGATGGGGGCCATAATTCAGACCATCCTATCATGGCCACGGGGACGTTACTGGCACCGGCACTTTATCTTACTTGTTAGGGCTATTTTTGGGCAGGAACGCACAGGAACAGAGTTCCGGCTGGCTCCCGAGTTGGCCACGCCCAGCAGGAACTCATTAGCATAATAGGCCACACCCAACAGCAGGAACTCATTAGGATTGGCTACATTAGGGGGTGTGTGGCCTAACATGCAAAGGAGTTCCTGCTACAAAAAAAGGCCCTGGGTTTTGACAACAAACAAGGTAAGCAGAATAAGAAGCAAATGGTGGGTGTGGCTGGATGACCACACTTCTGGTAACGTGGGGGTGCAAAAACCCAGGACCTTCTTTTGTAGCAGGAGCTCCTTTGCATGTTAGGCCACACACCCCTAATGTAGCCAATCCTGATGAGTTCCTGCTGTTGGGTGTGGCCTATTATGCTAATGAGTTCCTGCTGGGCTTTTTCTACAAAAAGAGCCCTGCTTGTACTGTGATTTGGTATGTTTTTGTATTTTATGGTGTTGTATTGCATTAACAAGCACTTACGTTTTAATATTCTTTTAAGCTTTTAATGTAAGCCGCTCTGAGCCTGCCTTGGCAGGGAGGGCGGGATGACAATCAAATAAATAAATAATAAATCACAGCATTTCCTGATCCCACCCAAAGTAGGGAACGCACAGTGCCCCCTTAACAGAGTTAATCCCATTGACTTTTATTAATTTAGAAGGGTATAACTGCTTAGGGTGGCGCTGACAGCATGGTTCGAGGATCTGAGCCTAGCGGAACTAGTAGACACAAACGGATGTCTTGAATTGTCCTACATGTGTTTATCCCCCGCCCCTCTCGTTTTACATACGGGACCAGAGAGAAATGAATCCCTCCCTCTCTAACTCAATCCTCGGTAGGATCCTGTTCGTCATACGGATAGTTTCAAAGGATGGCCATGTTGGTCTGCTGTAGTAGAGCTAGATTCGAATCCAGGAGCACTTAATAGTGTCCAACAAGATGTTCAGGGTGTAGCCTTTCAAGAGTCAAAGCTCCCTGCCTCAGGCTCTTTATACAGTCAGGGGAGAATTTAGAAGGTGCCTGGCTACACCAGAGGAGCACATTTCTCAAGGTGTGTGTGTGTGGGGGGGGGATCTTGGAGTTCATTATGCACTCGTGCCCTGGCTTGGGAATGCGATTATTATTATTAATTTTTCCTATTGAACCGAAGGCTCATGAACACATATCTTCTGAACACAAATATGGTAACATTATCCTTAATTCCTGTAGTGTGTTTTTCAAATGTATGTTGCACCGTTATTATTATTATTTATTTCCCTTTCTTAGCTACTTCACTGCATATATGTTTTAATATTATACTATTATTATTATTATATTATATTATTATAATTATTATTTTATTTTATTTTATTTTATATATATTAGATACCGGACAACAAGAAGTTTTGAGGTTTGTTACAATGTAAGTTGTCCAAAGCTCTAAAAAGAAGCAGTTCTGAACATAATTACTTGAAAATATGCAAAATTTACATATGATAAGATGTATGTATTTAAGCATAAGTTTACACTGTTCTCGATTTTACTGTTAACCTTTTGTCTAAAAACAATAAAAATCTTTAAATAAATAAATAAATAAGGATTTAAAAAAAATTACTGTTCCTTGGAGCCACTCTTCTCACGTTCTTCTCTGTAAGAAGCTGTCAGCTATGCTGCGGCCATGGCAGGTGGAAAGGGGGGGGGGCTGATGTATGGCCTGTTGGAATCGTAGCGTTCGTTTCTCCTCGCTTCATCTTATCTGCTAGCCCCGGCCTGTGACCTTGGTACCAGGCTGCTGGTGCTTTAGCTGGGAACACAGACCCCTTAGCCCAGGCGGGCTTCCGCTTCGGCCCTGATTGGTGCAGACCCGTCAGGGGGCCTTGTTTTGGATTGGGTATATCTTCTCATTTTGCGTGCTAACAATTTAGTTCTGATGCAGGACGTATGCACAGATGACCTGCCTTTACTGTACTCAATAAACTTGAACCTTTTGAAGGAACGCTGTTGAGAACTGATTGCTGCGGGACTCTGACAGAAGCCAGCCTGAATAGCGACTCAGAGGCTCTCACCTCTGTCTTGAGGTCAGCTAGACCAGGGGTGTCAAACATAAGGCCCGGGGGCCGGAACCGGCCTGTCCAGGGCTCTTATGCGGCCTGCGAGCAACTAGTGCAAGGGAGGAAACAGGAGACTGCTTGAAGGGGGAGTGGGCGGAGCCACTCCAATTGTGGCTTCAGCATGGTTGGAAGAAGCCTGCACCTACAACATCTGCAACAGTCAGGCAGGGTGGGGGGCGTCTGCCCAGTGCTGCACTGCTGGCTCTCCAGTCCACCCACGTGGGTTTCCTTTGAACCCCCTCCTGGTCCATGAGGCCTTGCACTGAGGACACACCAACTCGGAGCTTACCGACTGCTGTCCTTTATACAGTTCAGATTTCCAGTACCTGGCATTGTGTTTTATGGCACACACGGCCTGGCCCGACAAAGTAACATTTATGTCAGATCTGGCCCTCGTAACAAACGAGTTCAACACCTCTGAGCTAGAACCTGTTCTCGTTCCTGCACTGTAGTGGAGAACGAGGAAAGCCACTTCGGGGATAAAAGCAGAGTATAAATGAAGTTAAAAAAAACAACAATAATAATTACATTGCGCTAAAGAGGTGATTTGAGAAATAAGCTTGAAAGCATTTAGGCCTTCCAGGCAGCCTGGAAATATATTTGCCCAACACCCTTTTCACGTGCCATGACGGAGAGCTGAGCCGTGTAGATCCTCCAACCTAGAACAAACCCCAGTTTCCCCTCACCCTGTGCCTGGTGCCCGGAGTGGAGCTGCTTCAGCAGGGGCGCAGCTGGGCAAAGCGCAGGCCCTCCCCAGGAACTCCCAGCCCAGGAAGAGCAGCAGGTAGCATCTGTATACGTCTGTGATCCAGGTGGAAGCAGGCCCTTCCAGGCCTCAAAAGCGTGAATGTACCATGTGAGTCACGCAAAGGCAGCCCTCTGCTTAGCTGGAAGATCAGAGGACGTAGAGGAAGGCTCGTCTGGGCCCAAAGCATTATACAGAATTTTCCCCGTGTGTGTAAAGAGTGGTAACCTTCCAGCCCAGCAAAGCGAGGATTACAGCTGCTCCCTCCTTTCAGATCTTATCGGTCTCCAGGGAAGACAAGAACTGCCAAACCGGAACAGGCCAATGCTCCATTTAATCCGACAGAGGCCAAGGCAGGCGCTCACTGGAACAAAGCTTGGTGTTGCAGTACAGGGCCGGAGGCTACGGAGCCATGACCTCCCCTCCTCCTTCTCCCTCCCGCCCCCACCCCCCAGCCAAGAGCCCCCAGAGCACACGACATCCATCATTTGCAATAATCCCAGCCGGCAGAAGCGCTGGCTCCTTGATCCGGCTGCCCTCAGCACTTCATCTGCTGTCAACACGCAGCCCCAGGAACCAGAGCGCTGATGTCTGACCCGGCTGGGGCTCCAGTGTCTAAGGACCCCTGGGACTTGAGCTGGCAGATATTCCCCGCCCCTGGTGTTTCTGCAGGAGGAGGAGGAGAACTGCTCGTTTTTTATTGGTTAGACGGGAAGGCCCTGTGCTTAGACACTGCAGCAGTGAATTCCTAGAACACAGGCCAGGGGATAACAATGCAGCCTCAAGCCCTGTCCTACCCAAGGACTCACTAGGGGAGCCTCAGGTCCCACATCTATCCAACAAAAAAGCTGTTACTTTTCTACAAGGAAATGGATTAGAATTGTCCACTGAGACTGTGGCTATGGGCTGCCTGGCACGGTCTCGAGGCAGCAGGAGGAAGGTGGCGGGCTTAACATACATGGGAAATTAAATGCTAGAAGTCTCCGAGGTAAAATCAGGAAGTTGGGATGCTTGGTGTTGGGGGGGGGGGGGAAAGAA